CAGAGAAGTTTATAGAAGCTTTATTATGAGTAGTCAAACGTTCTTGGTCTTTTTTTATTTTACTTTATTTTTTTGGTTGAATTGTTTTTTAGGGGAGATTTATTTTTTGTTTTTGGTGCCAAGGACCAGCCAAGCATTCTACTGCTGAGCCAAATCCCCAGCCCCAAGAGTAGTCAAAAGCGAAAACAAGGGGCTAAAATTTAGTGATAAAGCACTTAACTAGTATGAAGAAGGCTCTACATTAGATCCCAACATCAAAAACAAAAAACAAGATAAAAAAAATAAAAACAATTCAGATGCCTTCAATGATGAATAAACAAACATACAGTACAACCAACAGACTACTACTCAGCAACAAAAGAGAAATATACTATTGACACACTTGAATGATTCTGTGAATTATGCTGAACGAAAAAAGCCAACAAGGTTACATGTAGTATGATTCCATTTACAGAATATGCTTGAAGTGACAAAATTATAGAATGCAGAATAATGGTTGTTGGGCTGATGACTGGGCTAAGGCTGTAAAGAAGCGGATGTAGCTAATGCCAAGGTAGTAAAGTGATCCTTGTGGAGAAGGAAATGCTCTGCAGCCTGACTGTAGCAGCATTTAATTTCTAGTTGTAATCCTACCATTATAACAGAAGATGCAATATTTGGGAAAGCTGAATGAAAATTATATGGGCTTTCTGTATTTTTTTTTTTACAACTGCATGTTGTCTTATTAGTCTTTCTGTTGCTAGTAATACTGCAGCCTGAGAAAGTTATAAAGAAAAGTGGTTTATTTAAAAAACAAATTTAAAGAGGTTTATTTTACAAAACAGTTTAGGGACCAAATCCCATGATAGCTTTCCTGCTGGCAGAGTCCTGAGGCAGAACATCTTGTGGTAAGACAGGGAGACCTAGTCAAAGTGGCTTCTATAGCAGATTCACTCCCAACACAGTGACCCATTAATCACTGAATGGATTCATTACCTCTTAAAGATTTCATTTGGTCCCACCTCCTAATATTTCATGATAGGGATTGAAATCCAATACGAGTTTTGGAGAGGACAAATCATAGCACATATAAGTTTGTAATTATTTAAAAATGTAGGGCAGGGGCCGGGAATATAGCTCAGCATAAGCGCCTGCCTGGCAAGCACAGGTCCTGAGTTTGATCCCGGGTACCACACAAAAAAGCAACCAAACAAACAACAAAAACCTGTGTACCTGTTAGCCTTAACTAACCAACCAACCAACCAACCAAACAAGAAAAACTAGGATGAGAAACTAAGAGTCAAAAAAAAAAAAAAAAAAA